GCCGCTCTAAGGTCTCCCCAGAGCCTTCTCTTCTCCAGGCTGAACACCCCCAACTCTCCCAGCCTGTCCTCACAGGGAGCTGCTCCTGCCCCTGAGCATCTTCGTGGCCTCCTCTGGACCCGCTCAAGCAGCTCCGTGTCTGTCCTGTGCTGAGGACCCCAGAGCTGGACGCAGCCCTGCAGGGGGGTCTCACCAGAGCGGAGCAGAGGGGCAGAATCCCCTCCCTCGCCCTGCTGCCCACGCTGCTCTGGCTGCAGCCCAGTATGCCGTTGGCCTTCTGGGCTGTGAGCACACATTGCTGGGTCCTGTCCAGCTTTTCACCCACCACTCTGAGAAAGGATCTAAGAGCGGGTCTGGCTGAGAGGTTAAGGCAGCTGTACACTGCCCGAACTACACGCTGGAGGTAGCTATACGCTGCCCAAGCTATACGCTGGGGAAGGAGCCCAGCAGGACTAGAGGAAAGCAGGGAATTACTCTGTCAGCATCGGTCAGGCAGCTCAGGGAATCAGCCAGCGACGCCACACGGATGTTCTTGAAGTTCTTGAGGTTCTTCAAGATGTAGTCGTACACTTTGTCTTCGGCCAAACCCATCCTGGCTCAGCACCTGCCAAGAAAAAGAGAGAGAGAGAGAAAGACTTCAGGGCAGCAGAGGGCTCTTCTGTAGGAGTTTGGGCTTTTCCACAGGAGCCTGACACTCGCTGCGGCAATCAGCGCAAGGGGAAATCTTGGGCAGAAAACACGCCAAGAAAAAACCACTCGGGTTCGAGTTCAGCTCCGGACTTTGCTTTGACAAACCCGATTCCCTCCTGCCATCGCCCGGCCCGGAGTTATCCCGGCTTCGTGCAGGCCTCGCCACACGGGCGCCGCAGGGTCACGCCAGGCCAAGCCGGTGGGAATCCTGCTTGGAGGCCCTGGCTTCTCCCGCATGGAAACGGACGGCGGAGGGAAAAAGCCACAAAGCTCCTTCTCCCGAGGGAAACGCCCCCGCCCGCAGCTCGGCCCTCCCGCCCCGCGGGCAGCGCTGCGAGACTCGCTGCTTCCCAATAAACTTGACAGACCCACCCCA